CCATCATTCACTTCTGATTTCCTAGGCTCTAAATTATGCTGAGTGGCCAGTGACAGTACTATGCCCACAAGCTAATGAGATGACAGAATGTGGGGCACAGGGAACTGAGGTCCAGACAGGGTCGGAGAGTCACCGAGGCCATACAGCAACCTGACAGCAGTGCTGGACAGAAGAGGTCTCCTAACTCTGAGCCCTGAAATACTTCCCATCACTAGTTGGTGCTGCTGTTCTAGCCCCCTGGTAGTTCCTTTACTAAATATATGCTGAATGCCTTGGGTTAGCAGAAAGGATACAAAAACAAGACAGGACCCATCCAAAGAGATAGCTCCAGTCTACGGAGAAGACAGCATGGATTTCTATTTCAGCAACAGCAAGGAGTGAGGGAGAGGGTACTGAGTGCCCTCCATTGGAATGGGGACAGAAGAGGGGACCTGCCCTGGTGGGACACACTACACAGGATGGCCCTGTTGGTTGCCTCTCCTCACTCCAGGCTGCATGTGTCCAACAGGCAAGCACTGGTGGAAAGGAGAGGAGCACTTGGGTAGCAGACTTCAGCAGAAAATACATTATCCATGGAGATGGTTATTCCTAGCCTGAGAGCCTCCCATTGCCCACCAGGGGTTGGTTATGGCCACTCAGGGATCCAGGGAATGCCCAGGTAACCTCTGGAAAGTCCTGGAGATGGGGCAGTAAGGGTTCCCTTCAGCGGGCAGGTTTGTCTCAGGGGCAGAGTCACTGTGTTTAAATCACATCACTTCTGGTCACAGACCCCAGCACCCAAAGCCTCAGTGTGTTCCATCTACCATAATGAAGCTGCAGGTATGTGTGGACACTATGTACACACGTGCATGGCACCCCTTATACCTCACAGAAGCCCATCTGGCAAGTGTGTGACCACATCGACGTCATGGATGGGCAGGGCCACAGCTGTGCAGGCACTCAGCCCCTCAGTGGTGAGGGCAGGGTGAGTGGGGCTCCCTTGCCTGCAGCAGAGAGCCTGGGTGCAGAATCTCAAGGTGCACGGGCACCTTGCCACTGGACAGGAGAAGGTCATGGTGCTCCCTGCTTCCAGGAGTGTGAGTGCAACCAGCTCTTCTCTGACAAATGCCACTTCTGCCTGCCTGGCATGCTTCTGCCAAGCTCTTGGCATCTGCGTTGGCCTGCTGTGGTAAGCTCCTTGGCCAGGCCCCACCCTCCTCTCATATGTCACACAGCTGCTCACACAGCACTATTTTTAAATCCCACTGTTGCTAAGAGGATTTACCAAGAAAGCCCTGGACCAAAGGACAAAGAGGGCTCATGTAACGAAGAGCTCTTGAAAGGTTAGCCTGCAACAGGGAAAGGACTGCAAAGCAAAGGGCAGGCAGGAAGGAAAAACAACAGAAGGGAGGTTTCAAACACATGTTGCTTTTCTGTCAGACCCCAATAACTTTTGCTTCAAAAATAAGAATATTTTGTTTGTACAAACATATATGCTGTTGTCCAGTGCAAGTAAAAAGTAAAGCAAGGAAAGACAGAAGAAACCCTGGACGATGGGAGGTGGGAAATGGTGGTTTCACTGAGCTTCAGCACTGGGAGCAAGCGGAGAGCAATTCTGTCTCTCTGGAAAGTGCCAAGGAGACCAAAGTATCATTGAAAAACTCAGACCCGATATGCTGAAGAAAGAACCCGAACAAAGAACTGGGCTGCTGGAGTGCAGCAAGAAGAGGTGTGTCAGCTGAGGTTGCCGCTGAAAGGCAATGAAACCAGGCTTTCAAATACAGGCGAGTGAAATCTTAAAGACAAGTTTGCAGCTTAGATGTCTTTTCCCCGTGAATTCCACAGGCTAAGCCATAACCCACAGCAGAGTATCACTGGAAATGTATCCTCTGCTGTGGTCAAGCTCCTTGGCCAGGCGTGTGTGTGTGCACGTGTGTGTGTGCACGTGTGCGTGTGTCCCTACTGATCATGGCATATACAAAAGCCACCAATAGATATTGAAAGAATTGTGTGGTTTTTACAATCTTACATAAAACACTTTACACAGAAGAAATGACAGGTACAATCTACTGAAAATGCATTTTTAAAACAAGATCTGTAGGCATTTAATGCAGGAGAACAGATGCTAAAGAAGTCACTATCAGTCTCACAGTACTACACTGCAGCTCCCTGAGGCCAGCACCTGTCCTGTCCTGTGTGGCACAACAGACAAGCAGACACCAGCGGGTCTTACAGGAGTTAACTCATCACTGATCAGAGCACATGGTGTTTCCTCGGAGAGCCTCATCTGAAGGAAGTGCACCATTACCACTGCAGGACAGCACCTTACACATCACGTGGCTGGGGCAATGGGCAGCCAGCATACCACAACCCTGGCCCCTGGGCCCTGTTCTGGCACTTGGTAAGCCTGGGTTGGACATGAGCTCCTTTTCTGTACTAGCATCAGTGCCAGCCAGCAAGAGCCTTGGAGCTGGCTTATCCTGAGGGAAGTAAGTCTGCTGCAGGCCCAAGCTCCTCTTGTGGGATTTGGGGCCTTTCCAAGATTATTCCATGAACTGCAGTACATTTGCCCTTGGCCAAGAAGGCTGGATGGTGCAGAATGTAGCTAACAAGTGTCTCTTCACTCCTCTTGAATGGAAAGACTTCGATGTACCAACTTGATGGGGAGCGGGGATAGGAGCCTTTTGAGTGTTAACTGCTCCTACTGGCAGGGTGTGGATGGGCCGTGCCATGCATGCTGAGGGCCGGAAGAAAGACAGTGGCTCTTGTCCTTGGCACCATACTGGCTCACGGCTGTGTCAGGACAGTGACATCCCTGTGCGCAAGGCAGGGCAGGTTCAGTGTGCAGAACTTGCCTCATGAACTCAGGGGACAGAGACCCATGAGCCTTGATGTGCAGATGCCATGTGTGACTTCAGAGCTGCCATGACCCAGACATTGAGAACTCACCTTCACATTTTAGAGAAGCAGCAGCTAACTGACAAGGTTGAAGAGCAGGCAAATGATCAAGCAGAGGGTGAGTTGCCTGGAGCTGAGTGGAGGTGGAACTTCCCCAGCACTGTAATATCCTACACTTCCATGTGGTTCACTCTAACGTGGTTAATTTTACTAGCTGAATCGTATTTCTAATAACAAAAAAGTCACAGACAATATATTTGAGCTCTAATATTTGGGACCTTCACGCTTAAAATCTGTGAAGGAAAGGATGTCGGAGTATGAGAAATCAAGGTAGGAGACCAAGCTGGTAGAAAAGGAGCTTCTCCAATACAAGAATAAACATCCCTTGCTAGGTCCTGTGCCAGGCTGTTATTTTTCTTATCTCCAGCTCAGTGCAAAGCACTCTCAGTGAATCCATAAATGCACAAAAGAACAAATAAAAGAGTAAATATAAGAGCAGTCCTTGACTCCCAACCTCTAAAAAAGATGGTCCACAGAACAACAGGAGCAATGTTTGTTTCCAAGAAAGAACACATTGGAAGAGGTGGGTTATATCCATGTTTATACAAGAAGCTGCACTGAGAAAATAAGGCTCACCAACAGAAATTCATTAAACCGAGAAGAACCAAAATATTTCACCTCCCTGTTATCCCATTGCCACTTCTCAACCTGACAGCTCTGTAATTAGAGCCGAGGTCTTATGCTGCTGCTTCATTTTCCAAGTGGGTTTTGTCTCTTGCAGCTGCAAGGCTTTTTGCCAGGGGCCCCAAGACCAGGCGTCAAGAACTTCTGCTTGTGAGAATCAAACCAAGACGCTGCCAGTTCGCCTCTGTTCCCAGATGGGCAGCTTCCTCCTCCTCCCACAACACTCTCCTTGAGAGTGACAAGTGAGAAAAATGCCCATCTTAAGGAACAATAATTTTGTCATGTGGTCATCCTGGGATATCTGAGGAGACTGGTCCTAGTACCCAAAATTTGAGGGTGCCTACATCCCCTTTATAAAATAGCCTTGAATTTCCACAGAACCTGTGACATTCCCAAATCTTGATGCAACCCTGAATTATTTATAACACTTAATGTAAACAGTAGCTACATTGTATTGTTTGGGCAGTGGTGACAAGAGCAGAGTCTGTATAAGCCTGTTAGTGAATCAATTCATAAGTTTTCTTCTGAATATTTTCTGTGGGATGCTGCACCCTTGGATATAGAGGGCTGCCTGTATTGTGTATTTCTTCCCTAGTTACCCTATATGCTAGACTATAAAGTGCTTCTGCTATATAACACAGTGTATATGTATCCCTGGAATATCTCACATTTTACAAAATCCAACACTGAAGACAACAGAGTGTTTGGGGAAAACTGGTTTGGTACATTGTTCTAAAAACTAGTATCTTCCAAACACAATAAAAAACAACTGGTATGGTAGAGAGGTGATCTGGCCACCCAGGCCAGGGGCTCTGTATAGCTGCTGGCTAACAGAGCAGATATTAAAACTACAAAAACAATAGGGAGAAAGCACAGTGACGTTTTAATTAGAGCAAGGCTGGCAGATGTTGAGGTAGGAGGAAGGAGTAAAATCTGCCCCACGCCAACAGTCACGCAAGTCTGTGACTGCATCCGTCTGGGGACGGGGCCTCGGGGGAAGGTAACTATTATGATTTCACCAAACAAAACCACACATGTGCACACCACACAGTCACAAGAGCTCAGCCTACAGTGCTTTCTACTCTTGCTCAGGTTTGTCATTCTGTTACTGGGTCTTGTTTCCTTTGCTTAGCAAAATTTCTATCAGCCAACGAAACTTTTGTCTTCACAGATATCTCACTCCTTTTTTTCAGTCTTAGAAGAGTTAACTCATCACTGATCAGAGCACATGGTGTTTCCTCGGAGAGCCTCATCTGCTCCGGCTCAGTGCCCTGCACAAGGCCACCACTGCTGTTGCTGTGAGTGGAAGCAGGCCCAGAACCAGGGGCAGGGGCTCAAAACCTGGACCTCCCACCCCACATCCCAGTCCTTCACCAAGAAAGAAAATATTCCGAGAGAAAGATGCAAAATTAAATGGACAGAAAAGTGCAAATACTTACATATAATACGTTGGATAGAGTCCTTCAAAATACCAGCAATGTTTTTTGGCCTCTGTGCACTGGAAACAGAAGCAGGAGAAAGTTTGTCAGGGGTAAGTACCTTGCACGCTGTGAAGCACTCGCGACAGCAACAAAGAGGGAGGGACACAGCTTCCAGGTATGAAAAGCAGGAGCTTCAGAGAGGCAAAGTTTAGAGAAGGACCCCCCTCCCCTCTCTCATGAGCATCTAGTTCTTTTTAAATATTCAAAGAGGAGAAGGAAAGGCCTATTTTCTTATTATTTTTCTAGTTTGTTATATCTCTAAATGTAGAGTACAACCATTTAATCAAAAAGGGAAATAAAGGCTGGGAATTTAGCTCAGTGGCCTAAGCACCTGCCTGGCAAGCGCGAGGTTGAGTTCAATCTCCAATACCAAAAAAAAAAAAAAAAAGATAAATAAAAACAATCTTTTGCAGTGCTGGGTCTGAACCCGGGACCCTGTGCATGCTGCTAGCCAAATGCATGAGCTACACTGCAGTCCCAGTTTAAAAATATGTCTACAGTGTTACCGGACAGGTTAGCAAAGAACAAAAGAAAGCATTACAAAGGTTTCTATCACCCTCTCTGTTTTTGTTTTTGAAAGACATTTCCCATAGTTTTACCATTTCCACACTTTTGTATTTCACAATACTCACTGTGAAATCAGTCAGCCTGCAATGGGGACCCAGCTGCTAGACTGTGTGAGACAGAATCACACAGCTGCACCTGGAGGCCAGCAAGGCCCCTATCTCCCACCCAGGAAGACACAGGGGTAGGAAGGCCAGGGAGGACTTTGAGAGCCTCCCCTTGGGGTCCCTTAGCCTGCACTATGGGCCAGGGCAGGGGAGACCTCACAGGCCATGCTTGGATTATACCCACCTCCAGTGAGTGTCACCAACAGCTCAGGAGCTCTGAGGCAAAAGTGAAGCCATCCTCAAGACTTCCTGAAGTAATTTTACTCAGGCCATCTACTTTTGTAATTTGCAGCCTCCTACGTGGAGACCCAGTTTATCGGCCCAGGTGTAAACACAGCTTCCAGCACAATGTGGTGCAGAGTTGTTGTGTGGGGATGCAGAGCAGGGCAGACTGGAGGCCTCCTTACTCAGGGAGGGAGCAGACCTGCTTCTTTGGTGCTTTCCTGCCACGCTCAGCCACTAGCAAGGCAGAAACAGACCCCAAATCCACAGCAGCATGGGGGGTACAGGCAGGTGATGATGCGAGGCCGCTAATCTACAGGGTCATGAAAATTATGTAAAAGACTGGCACCCTCGGAACATGATCTAAGACACCTGGAAGCACTCAGGCAGCATACAGTGACCCAGTTTTATTAATGGAAAATGAATTTAATTTATTTAAGGCTCACTCCAGTCCAGTTCAAGAAACAAAGTTCAGACAGTGAAAGAAATCAATTTATTTTGGCAGGAAGCAAAATTTCAGGTCTTGCCCTAGCTCACAACTCATCTCACCAGTCTCCTACAGTGAACTGAAAATGGAACCATCTTTGCTGGGACACAAAACCAGTCTTCTGCATTCTGTCACCACCAGACAGGTGAGCTTCCTGGAACCTGACATTTCATTTCTGGGTAATCAGGAAGCAGTGTCCCAAGGTCAGAGGTTTGAGTCTGAGGCCCTCTTCCCCTTTGGTCCCTGGCCATGTCTCAAGGTCACTTGCAGTATCATGTTTGGAACCAAAGAGCAAACTGGGGGTGCTCAGGTAGCCCTGGGAATAAAACCTACTGTCTGGAATCTCCCTGACTCAGAGTCGCTGATCCAAATCAGGGCATCCCATCAGTATCCGGGTGTCACATCACTGAACTCCCGAAGTAGCAACAAAAGCAGCATCACTGCATCTCACACAGCATTTTCATTCCAAATGATTTTTACACTTTTGGCTTCACATTGTCTCTGAGGCATGTGGCTGTTGGGACACCATACTACCCATTTGGAAACTGAGGCCTCAGTGGGTTCTTCTTCCAAGTCACAAACTTTCTCCATGGCAGCAGCATTCACCTGGGCACTGCTTCTCCCAGACCAACTGACATTACCCAAGAAGGCTGCTTTGCCCACCCCAGCTCCAGCACTGGCCTTTGGGGTGGCAGAGAGCCCAGGAAGATGTCACAGCCTGATGCCAGTGGGACAGAGACCCAGGGAAGCCTGGTGTCCCAGCCTCAGCACCCAGCTACATGAGTGGGTCATGTGTGTTTGTGTGTAGAGATGCACATCAATTGTATGTGGTGTTTGCAAGTCACAAATCTTTACTGAAAGAACTGAATTGTTCCACACAGCACACCTGAGGCATGGCTGTAAGAAGGAAACTCAGGCGTGTCTGAAACATTTCTTATGAGCTCTCAAAGCTACTGGTGATCTCCCTCTACAAACATGAAGCACTACATGCACAGTGTACATTCACTGTGGTATTATTTCTAACAGAAAAATCCTAGAAATGAGACAAATTCCCATTACAGAATGCTGGTTAATGAGCAACAGCATGTCTGTATAATGGAGTCTGTATAATTCAGCCAACAAGAATGAAGGTCTCCATGCCCAGAAAAGAGATGAATTCTAAAATACAGGCTCAGTGAAACAGCATTATGCATAAGGTTATGACCAGTAAGTTTCCTTTATGGAAAAGGAAATTTACACATTTGGTTTGCTTTTTACAAAGAGCCCTAGCAAGTATGTAGGGGAAAAATAATGACAGTGCTTGCTCTCGAGGGCAAAGTGGAGTAGAAGAGATCAATCAGGATGAGGGTGAGCTTTCTCTGAGGATATACTTAAAAGCACTTTTGAACTGTGTGTCTTTCACATTTAAAAACACAAATGTAAGCAGAAAAGGCTTTAAAACCACGCTCAGGAGCTGGTAGAGTAGTTAGTGTAAAGAGTGTGCTGGGGGTTCAACTTCCAGGTGTCATGAATAAGTGAGTGGTAAAGGCCACCTTAGGAGATGGAGAGTGTGTGCAAAGGTACTCGTGGCAGGGCCACACCAAGGCCAGGGAAAGGGTCATTCTTGCCCCGTTCTTCCTCTCACCTCCCAGAACTTACTTTCTGGTACTTTTTCTGGGGTATCTGGTAACTCACTTGTGTTGACTTATTGGTTACTTGCACTTATAGATATTTGTCTTTTATTGTTAATGACCTTTTATTGCTTCTCCTTAAGCCACTCATACAACAGGTATTTTGAAAAATATAACCTGGTATAAATATAGTCTGTTCTCTATAAAACCCTCTTAAGAAAATATTTCCTGAAACAGAAAACACCTCTAAAATTGGGCCATCCTGCATTAAAACAGTTCCATTTTGCTGCTACTGAAATGAGTGTCAGCTTTTGAAATATTAGTATTCAGGAAAACATCCTGTCTGGTAGCTGGAGGCTCAGCTGAGAAGCGCCAGAGTTTTAATGACATGCACATCCAACATCGCATGGAGGTGGATCAGGCTTTATTCCATTTGAAAGTCAGACAATAGAAAGTAGCAGAGGTCATAATGTCTCGTTAACTGAAAAATATGGAATGCAGGTCCAGAAATGCTGATCATTTTTGTTAGTAAGCTTTTCCTTAAGTAAATATCAGGCATCAAAAACCACCTGCACACCGTTCCAAGGGAATATAGGCTACGGTTAGACTGCAGAGGATGTTCCACAGGACAGTAAGTGCAGAGGCAGCACCCGCAGGAAAGATCTCTGGCTTGAGTACCAGCCCCACCAAGCCCACACCGACGGAGGGAGGCAGGGTTTGCCTATCAGTGCATGCCCAAAGCTGGATGAAGCTCTAGACACTGCAAAGCAGGTGCTGAAGCCACAATGCACAGTGGGCTTGTGAAGGGCGGGGAGGGGTTTTTCAGAGCACCCACAAACTCTTATGGGCTTGAGGCAGCCCCACCTACCCACAAGCAAGTGGGAAGCTGGGGAGCAGCGGAAAAGCCAGGGCATCCTGCTCCCCTGAAGACTGCGCCAGATTGAGGGGCGGTGAAGGCCCCCGAGGAAAGATGAACCCTGACAGACCCAGCAGCTGGGTGCAGGCTGCCCTGCTGCTTCCCTGCCATGTGGCCAATGCATCTGTGTCTCAGCTTCCTAGTTCTGAAATAGAGTTGACTCTTCCCTGCTTAATTTTGGAGAATCACACATATCTAAAGAATTTATCAAAATGTCATGTGAGATCATGCCGCGTTTGCTGACCCTCATGGCATCTCACCTCTGTCCCTAGGTGAGTGCCTTGAATGAAGCTTTCATAATTCTCTGGTGTGACAACTTTCCAGGCTCATTTTATTGTGACCACCTATCATCTAAGCAGAAACAATGCTTCCAAACTAAAAGTGTAATCTCTTAACATTTGTGTGTCTAGATTTCCAAAATACCCCTGAAAACAAGCCCCTCTCCAAAAAATGTTTAAACTGCATATAAACTAAGAAGAAAAAAGGCAATTTCAAAAGCCAGGGCCTTTACACTGAGCTCCATCTCATCATTCACTCATTTACTCACTTATTTTTATTTATTTATTTATTTGTTTGTTTGTTTGTTTATTTATTTATTTATTGAGACAGGGTCTCACTATGTAATGCAGGCTGGCCTCAAACTCTTGGCCATCCATCTGCCTCAGATTCCCAAGTGCTGGGATTACAGGTATACAGCACCATGACCTGCTATTCCATTTTATTTTATTTTATTTTATTTTTTATTTTTTATTTTTTTATTTTATTTTGTTTTGTTTTGTTTTATTTTTTTATTTTATTTTGAGACGGGTCTAAGTTCCCCAGGCTAGGCTCACATCTGTGATCCTCTTGCCTTAGCCTCTCAAAGAGTGCTGGATTCGCAGGTGAGCACTAACCATGCTCACCAATTTCCAAACAGTATCATGGAGTCCTAACGATAAACCATCTGCTGAAACAGAACACATTTGTTGGGAGAGGGCAGCTGCTTTTTCTTACTGATGAGGCATCCTTAGTGGTCAGAATACTGTACCAGAAATAAGACAGGCTCTCAGCAAATCCACAGTATGATATTTGTCACACGTATGCTGGGGATAAAGCTACAATGTCCACCAGA